ATCAAAGTCTGGAGCTAGAGTCGCACAACCGCCGGATCTCACATCAGCCACAGAACTGGGGTGTGGATAGCCGGCGCAGGGGTCTGTGGCTTCCCCTTCCCCCTCCCGGGAAGGGAGGAGCTGTGCAGACAGTAGTATGGTAACGGTAGTGACGTCATGCTCGTTTGCTCGTTTTTTGTTTGAGGGAGTTCTGCACAACAGTTTGGTTTTCAGTAGCAATATTTTAACCAGTTTGTTTTGGGGCACCTATCTTTCTGGGTGCCTGACCCAGTCGATGGCAGACATAGAATGCTTCAAATCACACAGGAGTTTCTATAGGCCATTGCTCCTTGTGCCTCTCTAAGGAGGCCAGGTTTCCACAGTCAGAGAAGGGTGCCACATATATCGGGAGACACCTCAACCCCACCGATGAGAAGAGGTCTCTTAAGAGCTCGTACGACTGGCAGAGCCAACTAAAGGAGTCGTGGTCGACTATCCATTCTGTGGACAGGGGGACTGAACTGAGACAGGCTGTCCACCAGGATGTTGGCCACTCCGCTGATATGAACCGCATGGAGAGCCAAACCCCGAGAATCCAGCAGACAAGTCACTCGAAGGGACCAGCCTCAAAGAGCTGAAGAACCGAAGAGAACCCCCACGGTTCAGACAATGAACCGTGAAGTTCAGACTCCCACACAACTGCTCGAGCAACCCCCGAGGGACCCAGCCCCCCCCCCCCCAGAAACAGCTGAAGGCAGGACTGCAGCTGCAGCAAAGCCTCCGGAGGGAGAGACACGGAAGCGGACCGAGAGTCCCAAACAAGGCCCAGCCAGGTCCGAACCTGGGATGGAACCAGATGGGAGTTCCTCCAGTTCACTAGGAACCCAAAACAGACGAGCTGGGAAAGAACCACACTCCTGGTGAGATGACAAGCAGACTGGCTGGGAGCCCACACCAACCAGTCATCTAGGTGGCCAGAACCTGAACCCCTAGCAGACGCAGACGGGTCACCGTGACCTGGGTAAGACGTGTGAAAACATGAGGTGCCAGATTCAAGTCAAAAGGAAGGCAACGAAAGCGATAAGGCAGCCACCCCACCACGAAACCTAACCAGTCCCTGAACCCCAGATGGATGGGAACGTGCCAATACACATCCCGGAGGTCCAGAGACACCATCCGGGCACATGACTCCAACAGAAGCTGGATATGAGACATAGTAGTCATCTGAAAGAAGGAGCAAGGAATCCAGGGGTTCAGACGGGGTAAGTCCAGAATGAACTGCAGATCCGCACAGTTCCGTATCAGCACTGGAAACAAGCGAGAAACCCACCTGAGGGATGGAGTCGTTTTGACCACACCCAAGCGCACCCACTCCAAGATGACCCAACAGAGCGCTGGTGAAAAAGCCTGCCCCGCCAGCCTCGAACCCCCCCGAAGGAGAAGGAACTGCCCAACCCCACCATAGTCCGAAGGATATGACCTGAAACGCCCACAAATCTTGGGACCCAGCACAATCAGAGCGAGCATCCCCCCCCCTCCAACCCATCAATGGGGCGACCCGTGAAAGGGCCGACACTCATTATGAGAAGCTGGCTAAAGAGTAGAGCGATCACTACGTGGACCAGACTACGCCAGCTCCAAAGGAAGCGCCAGCTCAGAAGCTGACACCAATGGCCCACCTCAACCAGCAGAAACTTGAAACCTGGCACGACCCTTCCGGGAAGTGTGAGAACGCCCAGTCCCGATCGCCAACATATCAGAAAGAGGACGGCAACTAGCAGAAGCCGCCTGCAAAAACTGAGAAACAACCAAGTTAAAAAATAATAATGGCCAGAAAGGAGATGAAAACCAAAGAGCCAGGGCCCAGGCTGAATCAATTGAGAGGGCGAGGTTATCTTGAGATGATTTCGGGGCTTAGCGTCCCCGCGGCCCGGTCCTCGACCAGGCCTCCTTTTTGTTACACACCACCCCGGGAAGCAGCCCGTAACAACTGTCTAACTCCCAGGTACCTATTTACTGATAGGTAACAGGGGCATCAAGGTGAAAGAAACATTTTGCCCATTTGTCTCCGCCTCCACTGGGGATTGAAGCTGGAACATCGGGACTACGAATCCGAAGTGTTGTACACACAGCTGTCAGGCGCTGTAACAACCTGCCGACACACGAGGTGAGAGGCATAAAACAGAGACAGTGCCTCCTGGAGGATGGGCATATGCAGTTACAGCAACGTCGCCAACGCCGCTGACATCCTAGCAGCCAAAGCAAATGCCCCAGACAATGGCTTGGCACTCAATGCCTCCACATCCTCCACAAGCCAGTCCAAGGACAGTTTGAGAAGGGAAAAGAAGCACAGGACTGAGAGGCCAGATCTCCGCGACCGTGAAGATCCTCCACAAGCAAGGCAGCTGAAAGGGATGGGACCTAGGCGTACAACTCGAGCAAGCTAACTTCATGTGGAAGCACAGGGGCATAAAGGCATGCAATGAGGTGCTCAAAAGCACCCCCGTCCCCCAGGTACACCTGCAATACTGTAGTATGCTCTTGCCAATCCAGTGTGCGGGAACGACAGAACCCGTGCCATGCCCCAATTGAAAAGAAAGAGCAGTCTGCAAGCCAGGAAGATGCCAGAACCTTATAATGCACCCAATACAGGTAAGAGGAACTGAACTTAAAGAGACCAGGTTCATCACAGAGACAAAGTCCAGGTCTCGCAGGAGGTAAGCACCAAGGGCCTCCCGAACCTCTGCAGGGGAAATCCAAGAGGAGGAAAACCTCAGGAAGGACTAATCCGAGGAACCCAAAGGCACCCAGAAATGGACCCGGGGTAAGTAAGTAAGAGTAAGAGTAAGAGGAGTAAGCCCCACCCAATTCAAATTCATAAAGGGAAGGAGGGTACAAAACAGACACACCCACCATCCCTGAAGAAAAGGTGGAGTCCAGGGGAAAAGCTTCAAGGAAGGGAGTCTGTTGGATCAAAATAGAAGCTCAATCACCTCCGCGCTGGCATTGGAAGGGGCAGCCCCCAAAGCCACCCGAGCCTCGTCCCGAACTAAACCCTGCCCCAACTCCGAAACCCTCAGAAGTTTGGGAGCTGGAAGCAGAGGAGAGGAGCAGCTGGGCAAATCCCTAAAACCCAAGTGGGGCAGCTCCGGGGCCTCCAACCGGGCAACCAACCTGGCCCGTGGTAATAAAGAGAACCTATCATGCAATGCGACTGCTGCCAGATCCAAGATCATCAAATAAGGGATGAGTAAATTGGAGCACAAGTGGGAAACAAGTCCCACAAGACTCTAGGTCGTAGGTGTCTCCGACCTAACAGGCAGCATGATGGAGGCAGGACGGATGATCGTCTCCCCTGTGGCAGGGGCGATGAACAACCTTCAGAGTCGCACTAGACGAGAGCAGGCTGGGAAGATGTATCCATGATATGACCGAGCCCAGAGGGGTCTTCCAGGGCCTGGAGGGTAAATAATTTCCACAGGAAACCCAGGCACTGGGGCCAGCTAATCCCGTAAACCCTGTCTTAAATTAAGCAGGCAAACTGACTGCAAGTAGCAGCCGTGAAAACCTCAAGGCAACAGAGGAGAACCACCATCACAACCTAGGCGAAGCCTAATAAGGAGTTAAGCAGACAATAGGTGAAAATGCCAGAATGAAAACACAAGAAAAAAACAAAACCTCACAACTAGCAAACTAGCAGTTGGAGAGAAATATCGGCCGCCGCGTGATAGCAAACATAGACTGAGCCAGCCACAGTGCGCCCCACCAGCAAATAAACACCCCCCTTCCTACCTTGGGCAAGACAGAAAGCCCAAACCTACCCCAAGGATGAGAACATCCACAAGCAAGGAAGCCTTCTAACAGGGGAGTAATTTCCGAATGCCCCAGGGAAGATAATCCTGACCATGCAAGGGTAGTACGCACGGAGCATTTAGGGAAGGTGTTCCTAGACATATGCAGCTCTGGTACCCTGAACTCCAGGCCAGCATGCACGACAAGTGGAGAAACAGCCGTCAAGGCAAATGTCCAGAAAATAAATTGCGGCCTGAGGTACCATCCGACCACTAAACGCATCAGTCAAGAACTGAATTGGTGGGTTGTCGGCTCACCTGGGGCCTGCTTCCCCTTCCCCCATTAGAGGGGAGCAGGAGGGGCGTAGCGCTAACAAGCGGAGTGCTAGTTGAATGAAGTGTTGATTGTTTGTTTTCTTTCTGGGGGGAGTTCTTTTGCTTGTTTGAGCGCATAGCTCACAATTTTCAACCAGACAGTGGTCTGTTTTTATTTGCCTACATTTTGGGTGCCTTCCCTGGTTGGTGACAACTATGACATACAGTACTTTAAATGTAAAGTGTTCATAGGCCATTGCTCCCTGTGCCTCTCTGAGGGAGGGGCCAGGTTGTGGCTCTGGTCTCCAGTAGGCAACAAGAACTCTGACTGATGACCCCAAATAGAATAGCACTACATCAGTGGTATAGCTTCAGGGAGCTGATGGGGCTTCCCACAGAAAATGTTTTCAACACATTCAAAATGCATTCCAATATAAGCATACTGCCTAGCAAGTACACAGCATTAGCCTACTTCACATGAAATCAAAGTTTCTAAAGATGAAAACTCATTTAGGTACTTGAATGAATCTGGGTTTTAAATCTGTTCAAACCATCACAAAGATGAGTCAGTTAGATTATGATAGGTCTTGGATCATATTTTGTCTATCTCTGTGATGTGAAGAGATAGAAATCTGTGATAAGATTTGGAAAGGCCATAAGTGTCTATTTATGAACTATACTTTCTGTGGTTACTCCAAATTCTACAAAGTTCTTCTCCAATACTTCCCTACACTAGCATAACCCAGGAGGGATGTTGGGAGAGATTCTGCTCCTCTGGTGCAGAATGTCACCCTCCCTGATGATAATGAATCAGTCCAATTAGATTTCAGTGAGCTTTATGGAGAGTCTGAGCGGTACAGTTCAGAAATTTTTTATTATTGTAAGATGCTATAAAATCTTGGTAACAGTCTTTACCTTTGGCCCCGAGATTGATGACATAGACACCTCCTGGCTGTGGTTCAGCAAGAGGCTCTGTCAGTCCTCCTCCAGCATTTAACAGCTCCCAAATGTGGCTCGGAGGTAATGGACTATTTGTTAAAAGCTGTGAATGCTGACCAAAGTTTACATCTCCCATGGAAAGCAAAGCATGTGTCTGGGTTCTTACCTGTAGTCAAATAAATATTATAAACTGAATTATCAAATGAATTTTCTGCATAATTCACAGATTTTCTCTACAATTCAGCCTAATTGAATTAAATTAGTAAGGAGTAAATATTGCTATTTTAAAATCTTAGTTAAATTAAATATGGAGAGAATTCTAGATAAAGTACCATACTATAAATAAAGTACATAATAGATTTAATATATTAATGATGCCATATGAATAGCTTAGCATGATTAAAAGTACTGCATGTGAAAGTCTATTTACATTAATAATGTAATTTTCTGTGGAGAGCCCCTTGGGCTCCCCGGAGCTATACCGGGCTGATGTGTATATATTAGACCGTGGCAACAGTCAATCGAAGGAATTCTAAGCCTATCGAGGACCAGAGCCAGAACCTGGCCCCCCTCAAGAGAGACACGAGGAGCAATGGCCTAAAGACATCCCTGTGTGACTGGAAGCAGTCTTTTTCTCCCATCTACCAGGTCAGGCACCCAGAAAGGTAGGAAATCTAAAACAAACTACTGTTGGTCAAAAACTGCAAACCGAAAGCCGAACTAGCAAACACAACTCCCCAATCAAAAACAAGGAAAGCAACATGACGTCACCACAATCGCCGCGCATCCATCTGCGCAACCCCCCCCCCTCTCCCAGGGAGGGGGATGGGGGGTTCCCAGACCTCCACGCCGGTAACTCTCCTCAGTTCAAGAGGCTGTTGTGATGGTGACAGTCAATCGCTCTGGCTCCACTCTTTGCGCAGTGCTGCTTAGCGGTGGTGTTGCTTTGTTTTGGTGGTGTGTGAGCCAGAAGTAACACAAGAGTACTGGGGCTGCATGCACCTAGAGGATATCTTCCCTAGGTGCCCCATAAGTACTGTCTTTGTGGTTTAGGGTTATCTCCCATGAGCCGTACAGGAGCAGCTACCTCGGTTTGGTTCTGTCGCTACTCGGTGATTGCCCACCCTTGGGTTTCAGGTGGGGTGGTTCTTACTTCTGTTTACCCTTGGGTAGGAGGTAGTTTCGTCGCTGGCTGGGGAGCGAGGTACTGTGCAGCTGTTTGATATACACACAGCGACCGGTTCTGTTCACCTCGGCACATTGTGCTTTTGCAAGGTTTTCTTTAGTTTTTGTTTTGATTTTCCTGATGGGGGTCTGTCTGGTGTGGGGGTCTGCCTGGTGTGGCGGTAGGACCACTTGTAGGATTTTGGTGGCCCTCCACTAGGTACCTGTGCTTGCATACATCGCAGGGGTTCAGCTTTTAGTTTGTTGGTAGCTCTGGGATAACTGGTTAGCAGTACCTCGCCTGGGCTTCCCTTAGCAGTCAGCCTAAGGGCCCTGGAAACCCCCATTGGGACTCAGTGGTCCAATGGAGGAGAGCTCCGAGTCCCACTTCGCCTTGTGCGAGTTTGAAGGTTGCTCTGTCCCCTTGTCTCAGGGTGACACTCACCGTCTGCCTCCGCCTTGCTGCCCATTGGGTCAGTGACACCTATGACCCGGAGTCCTGGGAGTGGTGTTCTTTGCTTGTATTCCATTCACCCAGTCCATTGAGACTGATAATTGGGTGCAGGCAGCTTTAGCGTTGCATGCGAGGTTTAGGTTGCAGCAACGTCTGAGGTTGGTTGCCTTTCCGGATGCCCCGCAGCTGCCCTGCTTGATTATACTGGTAGTGAGACTCGCGTGGCTTCGGGATTGCCCCTTCTGGATCGGCGGGGGAGGCATTCGAGCTTGTTCCTCCTGCCGGAGTTTTTGGGCTACCCCAGTGGGCCCCTTTCATCCCTGCTTTTCCGGTGGACTCTGCTTTTTCTCCAGAGGCAGAGGGTTTGGAGGACGGCTCGGCCCCGGGTCCTGACATGGAGGATTCCGGGGCTGAGGAGGAGTTGACTTGGGAGGGCCTGGGCCCAATTGTCCCTGCTTGGGTGTTTGGTACCCACAGTGCAGGGCTTGTTGTTATAGAGGGAGGGGTTTTCCTATCCCCCTTCCTGTACGATTTTGTTACGAGTTCGACTCCTCCCCGGGTTTGGTTATGAGTTCCCTTGGGTTCTTCGGTTCCCTCCTTCCAGAGGTTTTTGGCTTTCCGCATCCCACTGAGGAAGATGTGGGAGGCCCTTGCGGCTTACCTCCTGTAAGACCCGGATTACGCCTCTATAATGAAGCCTTCTTTTGAATTTGGCTCCTCTTTTCCTTATTGGGTATGTTACGAGGTGCCAGAGTCTTCCTGGCTGGCAGACTTCCTTTTCTTTTCGTTGGGGCTTGGCATTCGTTCTGTGGACCACGCACTTGAATAGCGGGAGTTGACTACAGTCATTCAGGTTTACCTGGGGGGCGAGTTGGAGCACCTCAGTGCATGCTTGTTCGCCCCCGTCCTTTCTCATGATGTCACCCAGGTGTGGCTTCACGTGCAAGTTCCCTCCCTTTCGGCATCCCTGCCGAAAGGGAGGGAATTCAGTCCGAGGATTTGCACTCCCATGGGCACTTGGCTTCGGTCTTGCACTTCTTTTCCCTGCTGGAGCTGTCTTCGGACTAGCTCGGGGTGGGTGTGGAGGAGCTGGGTTCCTGGCCAGTGTCTGGTGTGCTTACCTGGTTGATTGGTTGATGGGGTTCTGGGAGTTTTTCTACTCTCTAAGCCCGGCCTGAGGCCAGGCTTGACTTGTGAGATTTTGGTCCACTGGGCTGTTGCTTGGAGCAGCCCGCGGATCCACATATCCACCATAGCCCGGTTGGTCCGGCACTCCTTGGAGAAAACAGTCTAGTTTTCTCTTGAAACTGTCCACAGTTGTTCCGGCAATATTTCTGATTGTCGCTGGTAGGACGTTGAACAACTGCGGACCTCTGATGCTTATACAGTGTTCTCTGATTGTGCCTATGGCATCCCTGCTCTTTACTGGTTCTATTCTGCATTTTCTTCCATATCGTTCACTACAGTACGTTGTTATTTTACTGTGTAGATTTGGGACCTGGCCCTCCAGTATTTTGCTTTGCTTCTATTTTGCTTGCTTCGGCAGCTCGGGTGCCCGCTGCCTTGTTGAAGTAGTATGTGCCATTTCTGAGGGAGGCGGTGTCTCTGTTCTTCGTTTCTTTCCTCACATGCTGACAGATGGTGCTCCTCCATTCTTCGGAATCGTCTTGGGCCTGGCTCTTAGATTTTCATCCCCTTTTTTGTCCGTTGCTGTTTGCAGAATCTGCGGTGGTGCATTTTCTGCAAGCAACTTCGTCTAGTTGACGGCCTATGTCAGACTTGTAGGTTCTACGGGGTAGCCATGGAAGTCCTGGCCGGAAGAGTCGCGCCAGGTCTCGGGGTTTCTTTTATTCTTCATAAACCAGTAGTGCCAGATTCGGGACTGGTCCTTCCTGCGGAATCGTCAGCGCAGTAATCACTCTGAGTGTCAGTCGGGCTCTCATAGGGGTCGTTGGCCCTTTCATGGTTCGCCCTGTTGATGGGGAAATAGAGGGAAGGCTCATGCTGTTTGTTCTCGCCGGGTCTCACGATTCATGGGTATTTCGGGTCATTTTCCTCTGACCTGCGGTGACGTTGAGTCTTTCCTTCTCCTTTGGGGGGATCGAGGCTTACAGGGCAGGCCTCTTCCCCTGCGTTCTGTCTGGTCATCCTGGAGTAGTTTCCCGCCTGTTTTCAGTTCCGAAACGAGACTGGGCAGATCTGCGATTCATACTGGACTTGTCCCATCTGATCCCCTGGGTCTTTGCTCATCCTTTTGGATGACCACTCTGTATCGGGTCCGGCTGCCTTTGGCGCCGGGTGCCTGGATGGTGTCTTTGTACCTCTGGGACGCGTATTGACACATCCCGATTCATCCAGTGTTCTGGCTAGGTTTTGTTGTGAAGCGACAGACTTGCCTCTTTCATTGCCTTCCTTAAAGTTCGGATCTGGCACCTTGCATGTCCACACGCCTTAACTGGGTCTTGGTGACCCGTTTGAGTTCTGGCTTACCTCGACGATTGGCTGCTGTGGCCTCCCAGCCAATCCGCATGTCTGCTCGCCAGGGATTTGGTTCCTTCCCAGCTCACCGGGTTCGGTTTCTTGGTGTAATGGAGGAAGTCCCCTTTGGTTCCCTCTCAGGTTCGGACTGGGCTGGGTCTTGTGTAGGACTCTCAGACCGCTTCCGTGTCTCTCACTCTGGCGGCGTCGTTGTGGCTGCAGTCCCGCTTACGACTGTTTTTGGAGGGCACCCGGATCACATGTCAGTTGTTTGAGTGGCAGTGCGGGAGCCTGATCATCGCCGTGCTGGTCTACCCATCAGGTCAGGTCTGGCTTCGGTGGATGTTCTGGTTTCTTCGGGGGCATCCCTTCTGCCGCTCTCGTGATCGCTGTGTTTGGATCCCGTGAACTTTGCGTCGGCTGCTGCATCGCCAGCTTCCTGTGAGGATTTTTCAGGGTTCTGTGCCCTGACGCCTTCTCGAGCCCTCTCTCGATGTGTTCACGGATGCCTCGTCTTTCGGCTGGGGTTTTATGACCAGTGCTCACCAGGCGGGCCAGAGTCAGTGGGGTCCGTCCCTCCATCGGGTTCATGGTACGACGCAGGAGTTCACGGCGGTGTGGCATTCGCTTCAGAGGGTTTGTGTTGCTCGCAGAGCAACGAAACGGCTCCATTCGGACTGCTCCCCGGTGGTTTATTATCTGTACCACAGGGTTCGACGAGGTCCTTTGCTCTTTGGGGATGGTTGCTTTAGGTGACTCGTTTGCTCAGTTCTCGGGGTTTGGCTCTCCTGGCGGTTCACGTTCAGGGGGTGTCAAACATTCTGGCAGATGGCCTGTCTCAGTTCATTCCCCTATCCAAGGAATGGACAGCCGACACAAGACTCGTTCAGTTGGTCAGATGGTCAGTGGGGTCCGTCCTTCCATCGGGCTCACAGCACGGCGCAGGCGTTTGCGGCGGTGTGACATTAGCTTCAGAGGGTTCGTGTTTCTCGCAGAGCAACGATCTGGCTCTATTTGGATTGCTCCCCAGTGGTTCATTGCCTGAACCGCGGGGGTTTGATGTGGTCCTT